TCTCTGCCTAGATCCTCCACCAGGGTCAATATCATGTCCTCCATGTCAGTGTCCCCTATGGTCATTGTCACATCCTCCACACCTGGGCATTCCCACATGGTCACCTACATGTTTTCTGTGCCTGAGTCTCCCTACATGGTCACTGTGTTAGACTGGGTTCTCCAGAGAAACAAAAACCAGCAAAGCTTTTATATCTATATATCTATATATATAAATAAAGATAAATTTATCTTAGGAAAATGGCCCACAAACATATAGAAGCTGGCAAGTCCAAAGTCCCTGGAGCAAACGTCAGGCTGGAGGCTTTTCCCCACAGGGGCCGAGAAGCTCAAGGCTGGCAGGCAGTACACCAGCTGTTGACTCCAAGGAATGAGAATCCAAGATTGCCAGGCCGAACGGTGGACTGCTCACTCACGGACAGTTGTAGGCAGCACAACAGAATCCTGATTCTCTCTTCCTAGGATGTCCCTGGATATCCTGGAAGCAGGCCACACCCCCAGGGAAACTCCCCTTGAGCAGACTGGCCACTCAGAACACAGTCATCCGATCCCATCATGGGAACAACCACATAGAACTGGGGTCCAGCCAAGTTGACACACAGCTCCAACTATCACAGTCACCACCACATTCTCCACTCCTAGGTCCTACACAGTCACCTCTACGTTTTCAATGCCCAGGTACCCCCTACACACACACACACAGTCACTTTCATGTCCTCCACACCTCTGTCCCCCTACATGATCATTGTCATGCCCTCCATTCCCAAGTCTCTCCACATAGTCCCTATCATGGCCTCCATGTCTGGGTTCTCACCTGGTCACTTCTCCATGCCTCCATGCCCAGGTTCCCCAAACAGTCACTTCCACATCTTTTATGCCTGGTTCCTTTACCAGGATAATAGTCTTATTTCCAGGTCTGGGTCCTCATGGTCACTGTCACATTCTCCGGGCCTTCTGCACTTCTTCCATGTGTGGAAGGTCCCACATGGTCACGGTCATGCCCTCCACACCTAGGTTTCCTCACACAATCATTTCCATGTCCTCCATTCCTGGATCCTCCACAAGGTTCAGTGTCATGTTATCCTGGCCTGGATCCCACCCTACTGTCACTGTCACTGTCACATTCTTTCCCCCAGCATTCCCTACATGGTCACCATTACATCTTCCATGCCTGGGTCTCCCACGTGGTTACATCCACTTCCTTTATTTCCAGGTTCTTCTCACATGGTCACCTTCATATACTCCATATCAGGATCCTCCATCAGGGTTACCATTATGTCCTACAGGTCTGGGTCCCCTCCACCCCACAGTCACCATCACATCCTCCATACCTGAGTTTCCCTGTATAGTCACCATGCCCTCCGCACCCATGTCCTCTACCAGTCACCATCACATCCTCGTCTTGGTCCACCAAACAATTATCTTCATGTTTTTCATGCCTGGGTCTCCCACAGTCACTGACGTATCTATGCTGAGGTTCCCCTCCACAGTTACTGTCACATTCTCCAGGCTCAACAAGCCATCCCCAATGGTGATCATCAATCACATCCTCCATACTGGGTCCCTACATAGTCACCGTCATGTCCTCCATGCCTTGAATCCTCCACAATGGTCAGCGTCACTTCCTTCATGCCTGGGTACTCCCACATGGTCACTGTCACATCCTCTATGCCCAGGTTTCCTCACATAGTCACCTCCGTGTCCTCAACATGTGGAACCTCCTCCAAGACCAATTCCTGTCTGGATCTCCCCTCCCCCCAGTGGTCATCATCACATCCTTCACACCTGGGTCCCCCACATGGTCACTGTCACTCCCTCCATCCCTGGGTCCCTGTCATAGCCTCCACGCCCTCCATGCTCAGGTCCTTCCCTACATGGTCACCTCCACATCCTCCATGCCCAGTTCCTTTACCAGGTCACAGTCTTTATCTCCAGGTCCAGGTCCAGGTCCTTCCCTTGATCACTGTCATGTCCTCCAGGCTGTGGTCCTTCCTATAGTCACCTCACTTCCTCCATGACTAGAACCCTCCCCCGGTCACTGTTACATTTACCACACTTGGAGTCCCTCACATAGTCACCTCCACATTCTCTATGCCCTGACCCTCCCTCCCTGAGGGTCACTGTCACGTCCTCCAGCCTTGGGTCTCACTGCACTGTCACTGTGACATCCTTTTCCCAATTTCCCTTACATGATCACTGTTACATCTTCTATTCCCAGGTCCCCCACACAGTCACATCCACTTCCTCTATAACTGGGTTCACTCTACATGCTCACCTTCATGTCTTCCCCACTTGAGTCCCCCAACAGCACAGTCACCATCACATTCTCCAGACCTGGGTCCCTCCCCATAGTCACTGTCATATCCTCTAGATGCAGTTTCTACCAACATTCCCTGTCACATTATCCATGCCTGGGTCCCCCTGCCCCCGATCCTAATCACTGTCATGTCTTTTAACCTAAGTCTCCTTATACCATCGCTGTAATGCCTTCCAGGCTCTTGTCCTCCTACATAGTCACTGTTACATCTATCATGCCTGGATCCTCTACCAGGGTCACTGTCATGTCCTCCAGGCCTGGCCCCGCCCCACCCCAGGCATAGTCATGTCCTCCACACTTGTGTACCCCTACTTGGTTACCTCCATTCCTCCTGCCTGTGACTTCCATGTCCTCTATGCCCAGGTTCCCCTATATAGTCATTTCCTTGTTCTCCATGCCTACATCCCCACACACAGTCACTACTATGTCTTCCATGCCTGCAGTCCCGCCCCCCAAGGTCACTTTCATGTCCTCTATGCCCAGTCCTCTTCACATGATCACCATCATGCCTTCCATGCCTGGGCCCCACCCATGTTCTCCATGCCTGGTCTGCACCCCCCCCCAGTCACCTCTACATTCTCCATGTCTGAGTCCCCTCAACATGGTCACCTCCACATCCTCCACACCCAGGTCACCCACACAGTCACCTCCATGTCCTCTATGTCCAGGTCCCCCACATAGTCACCATCTCATCCTCTATTTTCAGGTGTCCTCCTATGGTCACTGTCACATTCTCTATCATAGCCTCTGTCATAGCCTCCGTGCCTGGTCCCCCAGATGGTCAATTCCAAGTCCTCCATGCTCAGGTCCCCCAAATAGTCACATCTACTTTCTCCACACCTGGGTTCTTCCCCTCCACAGTTACCATCACATCCTCCAGACCTGGATCTCTCTTCATAGTCACTGCCCACATCCTCCAGGTGCAGTTCCTACCCACATTCACTGTCACATCCTCCATGCCTGGATCTCTCTCCACAGTTACCATCATGTCTTTCAACCCAAGTCTCCTCATACAATCACTGTCAAGCCCTCGAGGCCTGTGTCCCCCACATAGTCACCATTTCATCTTTCACACTTGGGTCTTCCACTAGGGAGGTCCCTTCCTCCCATGGTCTTAGTCATATTCTCCATGCTTGGGTTGCCTTACACAGTCACCTCAACTCCTTATCCAGGTCCTCCTACCTGGTTACCTCCACATGGTTCATGCCTATGTCCCCCCACATGATCACCTCCATGTCTTTCCATGCCTGAGTCTCCTCAGCCACCTCTACATCATTCATGCCTGAGTTCCCCTCAAGGCCACTGTCATGCCTTCCATGCCTGGATCACTCCACAATCCCTATCAGGGCTTCCACACCTGGGTTCCTTCATACAGTCACCTCCATGTCCTATGTGGGGTCTTGGTGCCCCCACATGATAAGATCCACATTTTCCACTCCATCACCCCATCCATAGTCATTTACATGTCCTCCAGCTTTTGGTCTCACTGCACTTGTCACTGTCACATCCTTTTCCTGATTTCCCTTACTTCCACAGTTACTGCCACATCCTCTAAACTTTGCTCTTTCTACATGGTTGTCGTCATACCCTCCATGCCTGGGTCTCTCACATAGTCAATGAAATGTTATCCATGCCTGGTCTGTGCCCTGCCCCCCACCCCCAGTCACCTCTACATTCTCCATGTCTGAGTCCCCTCAACATGGTCACCTCCACATCCTCCACACCAAGGTCACCCACACAGTCACCTCCATGTCCTCTATGTCCAGGTCCCTCACATAGTCACTATCTCATCCTCTCTTTCAGGTCTCCTCCTATGGTCACTGTCACATTCTCTGTATGCAGTCACCTACATGTCCTTAATTCCCAGATCCCCCACATGGTTACCTCTATGTCTTCCCCACTTGGGTCACCTCATACAGTCATCTCCATGGCCTCAGGCAGCTGGAAGTTCCTTCTTAAGGAAAGGAAGTGGTAAAAGCCCTAAGCTCAGGCAACAGTGGTCTCCTGTGTCTCATGTCCTCACCCTCAAGTACTAAAGAGTGTCATGTACCTATGCCATCCCTGCACTGTTCCCTGGCTCTGCCAAAGCACTTGAGGTAGGTGTTGGCACAGTCCCTGAGACTGAGGCCTCAGAGGGGACTTGGAAGTGGGACTTGAATCCAGTCTGCACAATGCCCATGCCTTGCCTATGGCTGACCCTCCTATGGGGCTTGGATCCCTACCTCCCATCCTTGGCAGATGGCCCAGGCCCACAGTAGTGGTATAGCTTGTCCTCTTCCTCTGTGTGGAGAGACAGCTCCTCAGCACCAGAGGAGGGGAGGGCGTCACCCTGGGCACAGCAGGGGAAACTGTAGCTATCACTGTCTGGTTGTGTCTCACAGCCCAGTCCAAACACTGCTGCCTTGGGGATCGTATGCAGCCACTTAGCCTCCTATGAGGATCAGCTGCTTCTCTGGGCCATTTCCTCTTCTTGTACATGGACTTGAATTCTGGTTTCTTTTTTAAAAAAAAAAATGGAGGAAAGGTCACATAAATCCTTTATTACTTTCTACGTTTGGAAATTGTTCCAGGGTGGGGAAGGATGGTTCTAGGGGTAGTGGTCGAGGAGTTCTAGAAACTCCTTCTGCAGAGGTGGTCAGCACACACCATCCTCCTCCTTGTGGTGTCTGAGGACTAACACACACCTAATCGAGAATGTCGCCGAACTCCAGATTATCCAGCTCATTCTGCATGTGGTCAGTGTACTGATTGATCTCCTTCACACGTTTGCGGTTCCTCATGATTTCATCTGTATGAATCTAGGGATGAGACCAAAAAATGTCCCTAATTCAAATTAAATTAACATCTTCTACTGAGTCCAGTAGGAGCTCTGGTAGCATAGTGCCTAAGGCACTTGACTGCTAACCAGAAGGCTGGTGGTTCAAACCCACCAGCCACTCCTCAGAAAGAAGGTTGGGCAATCCTACTTCTGTAGTGATACTGCCTTGGAAACCCAAGGAGGGGTCGCTATGAGTCGGGGCCAACTCGACAGCAAATAACAAGAACAACAACAACTGAGTCCAGTGTGAGAGAAGGAAGAACAGTTCTTTAAAATTTTCATAGTTTAAGTCTTACATTACTTTACTTTCTTCCCCCACATCCCTGTGTTTTGATTATGTATCTGAGGCCACCACCCATCTATCAGTTCATTGTCTGTGATGGCTTGCATGTTGCTATGATATTGAAAGCCACTGGTGTTTCATATACTAGCAGGGTCAACCCGTGGTGGACAGCCTTCAATGGAGCTTCCAGACTATGACAGACTAGGAAGAAAAGCCTGGTGATCTTCTAAATATCAGCCAGTGAAAACACTATGGATCACAATAGAACATTGTCCAATATAGTGCTAGAAGATGATCCCCCAAGGTTGTAAGGCAGCAATGGACTCAAACATGCCATTGATCACGAGGATGATGTGGGACCACACAATACTTCATTCTGTTGTACAGAGTTGCTGTGTTTTGGAGGTGACTCTGGCAGCTAACAACAACAAATATATTTGAGGTAGGAGTTAGAAAATGAAGCATGTGGGCTTTAATGCCTCTGACTGAGCAAAACAGGGTCTTTGGTATGGAGCGCTACAATCCTTAATCTCATTTCTTTCTTAATTTTTTATTGGAAATTGTGTATACTGCCTAGGGAGAATTTCCACTTTCTCTGGATGATTGCTAGGGAAAGTGGCCAGGTCCACTAGAGTGTGTTCACTGTACCCACCTTGTCCACTAAGTGTGTGCACCAAGAGTTGACTCTTGTGATTAGCTCATCCTCCCGGTTGTCAATCTTCAGGAGGTGGATGTCATGTGATGCCCCAACAGCATTGACAATTGTGTCTTTGTCGACAAAAAGCTGGTGAGTGAAATGACCAAAGAGATGATGTCGTTCCACCCTGAATATGATGTCTGTGTTAAATCAAAAAGGCAGCCTAACTTCTCTAGTTGGTATAGGTGACACCCACCTTGCACACTTTCCTGCAGGTTACCTTCAAGTCACATTGCCTTCCAGACCTGAGCAGTTGCTGTGTTATGGAGAAGGGCAAGCCAGGCTGCTGACTTAGAACCCCAGTTGTGAGCAAGTTTTCTCCTGGAGAAGGCTGATGGTAGCTCTGGGTGCCCCACAGCCAGAACAGCTCCTCTTCCTTGGCTGCTCTCAAGCCTAACCTACCCAAAGCCTTTACTTGCCAGTGGGAACTGGGAGACTGGCTGTCCAAGGAACACTCAAGGCTGCTCCTGGAGGACAAAGGATCCTGGGTATTCAGATCACAGCTGTCTCTCCATTGCTCTCATGTCAACAAAGTTGAATTCTGGTTCCATTTGGTGATTCCTCCTACATTTTCTTGTTCCTGACTATGTTTTCTGTCAAGAACAACTGATAGGCTACTTGGTAGGGGATATATGTAGGAGATCCTTGATAGAGAGGGAGAACAATGTGGAACAAAACTCAAAATCATTTGGAGAGAAAAAAGGGGGGGGGGGACCAGGTTTGCTGGTCCGATAGAGCCTGGTGGAACCACTGAGACTATGGCCCCTAGCTGCCTTTCAGTTCTGCAATTGAACCCACACCTGTGGTTTCCACCCAAACAAAATACAGGCATATGACTTGAACATTAATCTCAGGGAGATACACTCCTTGGAGAGAACAATCATGGGAGAAAGAAGGGCTGCTTATGCACAGGGAGACAGCTTAGGGGGCAGGAGTATATGGAGGGATGGACAATGGGAAGAGGTAACTATGGGGAGGAAGTGGGAGGGGAGCTGTTGCATTGTGGTAAACTGTGGTCAATGACATAAGACAAAGTATATGTGAACTGCTGTATGGAAAGTGAATTTGCTCTGTAAATTTCACCCAAATCACAACTAAAAAACAACAACAACAACAACAACTTATAGGCCTGGCAGGTTCTGGATGTTCAGACTATGGCTATTGTGTATATGGGATGATTGAATATTGAACAAAATTATCTCCTAGCTAGGGAAGGCTCCTTAGGCATGCAGCAAGCAGTTGCTTCCACTTGGAAGGAGGTGCTTTGTGATACCCAGGATGGCAAAGGACCTATATTACTATATTTTCTATATTGCAGAGAGGACTGCAAGTACATTTTGTATTTTGTGGTTTTTTCTTTTCTTTTTTTTTTTGTATAGTAGCAGCTAACTTAATGGTCTCCAGAATATATTTTGTGGAATCAAGATGTTACTATTTCTGCAAAAAAATAAAAGTGGGGGAGTTCCGGTAAGATGGTGGACTATGCAGAAAGACTGCACAGACCCTCTTCAACAAAGAAAAGGGAAACCAATTAACACAGACACAGAAGATAATCTTGGACTCCTAAGCCTTGAAGGGAAGGATAGAGAAGTGGACTAAACCCCAACTAGCAGAAGAATTTGCGTGAAAATACCAAAAAAGGAGACATACGGAGCTGAGGTCTGGCAGTGATCCTGATGGCACAGACAGCTTGGAGATTCCTGAGTGGTGGTAGGGCCTGAGAATTAACCTAAAAATCACCCTGCTACTCAAGGACTGCACGGAGGACTGAGCACGGTGGCTGGGGAACAAACAGAGAAGATGAAGAAAAAGGTGGGCTGAACTGTGGACTTTTGCTGGTCCAGAGGGTGCCGTGATTTTGAAGGTTTAAGAAGCAGCCTGACTATGTTGGATATTTAAAGAGACAGCGCTCTCTCAGATTCCTGGGGCTTAAGAACATGTTCTGCTTTCCAGCAACCCCAAGGACACTCGGGAACTGCAAGACTGAAAAGGTACGATATTCCTCTTGTTACTCTTATACCCCATACCCACTTGGTGAATGGAGGTGTGGCCATCTCCCATTCCCACCTACCTTCTGGGCCTTCAGGAACTCCATCACAGTCTGTGTGCTCAGACAGAGCCTGGGTGCCCTGCCCTGTCCCCAACTGATTTTTTTTTCCCTTTTTTTATTTTTATTTTTTTCTTTCTTTGCTTTCTTTTTTCTGGTGATTAGTTTGCTTGTATTTGTCTGTTTTAAACAACTAATATTATTAATACTTTTGTCCTTATTATTATTATTCTTAATCTTCTCCTACCAGGTCCTAGTTTTCAGCATTTTTGCTTTTCCCTGTGCCTGGTTGAAATTTTTCGTTTTTTAATTTAAGGGTTTTTTTTTGTTTGTTTGTTTTCTTTTCCCTCTTTTTTCTCATGATTAACCCTGTTCCTTGTTTTTCTTTTTGCATTTTTCCCATTTTTTTCCTTCATTTATTATTCTCCTTCCCCACTTTTTTTTCGTAGTGCCCTATCCCCAGATATTGCAGGTTTTCTTGTTTTTTCTTCTTCTTCTTCTTTTTTTTTTTTTGGTTACTGTTCCTGAGTGACTACATGGTGTGTTTTTCGTCCATGAGCTTTTAGTTTTTTGATGGTTATTCAATTGTAATTTGTGTCTAACTGATTGGGAGACAACAACAGTCCCCATAAGACACAACTACACCCACACCTCCTGCAACTTCACTTCCTGAGCAGAGCCACTACCTCCTTCTTCCCCAACAGGCCAACGATAAAAAACCACTAAGAAGAGCCTGAATCACCCTTGGCTGCTCTTCACAGACACTTAACAGAGATCTAAATACAATAACGCCAGGCTGCCTCAGAAACAATGGACCATCACAGTCCACAAAAAGAAACAGGATAAAGTGGTAGAAACAAGGGAGCCGGATAGAGACCCAGAACACATCCCTGAGGAAGAAGCAGCATTGGAACTCTCTGATAAGGAATTCAAAAGAATTATCTTTAGGTATCTTCA